AGGGACACCCAGTCCTGCCCTCACCTTACCCTTGAGCCTGCAGACCCCAGAACCCATTGAGGAAAGCCAGACTTGGCAGTAGCTGATCCATCCCTGGTGGCCAGGCAGGCTCCAGGGCACAGGTGCTCCTGGCTGCTCCCCCACATTCCACCCATGCACCTCCCCTACTCCAAGGTCTACCCCGTCCCCTCTGCCTCTCACTGCTGGTCCCGGCCCGGAACAGCAGGGCGCCAGCCACCCCGAGCCAACCAGCACTGCAGTCTGCTGTCCTGTTCAGTGCCCCACTACGCCCCCGGGGGGATGCTTGCCCTGTGGGGCTATGGACAGGAGACTATGGGCACAGAGCACACAGTGGAGGGCATTCAGGGCCAACGTGGGTGGACCTGCTGACCCCATGCCTCCATCTCCACTCTGCCGAGTCGGGGTTCAGTCGGCCCCAGCGCCCCCTGTGCTGCAGTGGCTTCTGGCTTCCCAGCAGCCCAGGCCACCTCCCTACACAGGCCCAATGTGAAGGAAGTCATGGAAGGACTCCAAAGTCCTGGACGCAACCACCTGTTCACTCCTCCACTTCGTGGTTTGAGCACCACAGGCAGTTAAAACAGGAAACTCCACGGGCATTTATGCCCCAAGAGCTGGAGGCCACAAGACCAGGCTGGTGGCACCCACAAGCCCTCTTCCTGGTTCAGGGGCCCTTCTCTCTCACCGTGCCCTCACAGCTAATACTGACCCCACGGGATGCACCGCCAACATCTCCTCATCTCGTCCACTGAAGGCCAGCGGGACACATGCAGGTGAAAACAGAAGACGCGGTAGTCAGGAGGGAAGGCGGCCCTGCCTCCTGCTGCAGTGGAAGCATGGGGTCAGTGACTCGGGGTGCACCGCGTGCTCAGTGAGCGTCAACATCAAGAGGTGCAGAAGGTCAGTCTGTACATTGGGGTTCAGGTGTACAGGCCATCTACACACCAGGCTTGAGACCTGCCACAAGGGAGTCACCTGCCTGGGGGCTCAGGACCCACCCCGAAAGGCCTCCCAAATCCACGTCAACATTCCTCTGGGCACCACTGGGCACCCCACCTCCTGCCCAGTTTTGCTATGAATAGTCACGTCACACACATCCCATCTCCGGGCATTCGGGATCTTCCAGGATCAGGGAGAAAGAGGCTGCTTCTTGAAAGAGGCGCCCTGCCGCCGGGGTTAAAGCCACTGCTGGCAGATCCCGTGCGTGCACACGGGACTCCAGCGGCAGGGAGAAAGCCATGATGTGGAGGGGGCAACAGCCCACCTTCCCCTTCCTGGGTTTCCACCAAAACACTAGAGGTGCCAGGCAGCAGGGTTGCTGTCCACCCCCAGGACAGCTCCAAGGACACACAGGACTGCAAAGCTGCCTCCGCTTGTCAGGGCCTGACCCAGCCAGGTCAGCAGGGGTGCGAGAACAAAGGTTGCCCTTCAGATGTGCCCGCAGGACATCCCATGGCAGGGCTCCACACGGACGGGCTGCTGAGCTCAGTAAACAAGCTCAGGCTTGCTGGGCTGTGAACTCTCGGGGAGCAGCCTGCTCTTGCCTCGCCGTGGGGATGGTGCTGACTGACCCAAGACCCAAGGCTCCCCTCTCATAGGCCCAGCACTGAAGCAGGAGGAGCTGGGGGGCATGAGGGTACAGCTGACAAACAAGACAGCAAGGGACCAGAGGGGCTGGAAGTGGGCGGCAGGGGGCACCTGCGACCGCCACCAATGACAATCTCTTGTCAGGGAAGCGTGGCAAGCCGGTGCCACAGACCACATGGCATGTTCGTGATGCACCAAGTGCATCAACAGGACAATGAAGGACAAATGAACAACAAACTGGTCTGACTCGTGTCTAGCTGCGCTATTTTGGGGCACAATGAAACGAGGGAAGGAAGCAGCTGGGCCGGCCCGGGGTCACTGCCAGGCCCAGGCTGGCCACGTGCATTCCAGGGCTGGGAGAAAAGGTCACCAATGCACAGTCTCCAAGCTGGAACCGCTGGGTGGGCGCTTCCCCATCAGCACCTCAGCCACGGCGAGAAAACCAGTCTTTCTTCCTTTTGAACAGTTATTATCTGAAAGGCAGAGTTACAGAGGAACAGAGCGCTCGTCCATCCCGATTCACTCCCCCAGTGGCCACAAGGGCCAGGGCTGGGTTAGACTGAAGCCAGGAGCCAGGAGCTTCTTCTGGTCACCCACTGGGTACAGGAGCCCATCTTCCACTGCTTTCCCAGGCCATAAAAAGGAAGCTGGGTCAGAAGTGGAGCAGCCAGGACTCAACTGGCATCCATATGGGATTCCAAAGTAGCAGATGGTGGCTATACCCACTATACCACAACTATAGCCCCAAAGCGAGTTTCTATCACAAGATAGGGTAATCAGCTATGTTAGCTGAAAACCAACTTAACAGAATTTTGGATCCAACCCCGGATTTTCCGTGTTGCCTCATCCTGTGTGACGCATACAGGAACATTTGATCTGTTTTTCTGGAGTGACCCTGCCAAGACTGGCAGGATCAGCTTTGAAACTGCTCAATGCCCACGTGTGACCATGTACCCCTGGAGCCCCCGTGGACCGGGGCCTGGCCTCTGGCCTCTGTGGCAGGGAGTGCACCATCAGCGAGCAGCCCAGCTGGCCTGTGAGGTTGTAACCACTGGAGTCAGGGAGTGCCTGATGCCCCATGAGGCCCCGCTGTCAGGGGCAGCCTGGGCTGGTTTGTGCGGGGGAACTCTGGATCCAGCTGGCACATTCCAGGTCTGGGGCAGGACACCCCAGCCCGAGGCCAGCTGCAGTCTGCCTGGCATCGGCAATTCCCTAGCGAGCACAGCACCCGTGGGCAACTAGGGACATGGGCTGAGGGCACACCTGTCACTCCAGCTTCAGCCTACAGGATCCTGAACTCCTCGGGAAGCCTGGAAATTAGGCAGACTCCGGGCTCTCTGCTAGGCACTTTGCCATGAAACGCCTCCCTCCTGGCACATCAGTAACTGGCTCTGTGTGTCCAACAGGCAGGTCCGGCTTGGGGGTTCCACAGCAAGGCCTCCATCCTACTACCCTGGGGTCACTCATCACCCGCTGGTGAAGCTACCACAAGTGGACTGCACTGCCCGTGCTTGCCAGCAAGATCCTGGGAGAGAGGCTTTGCTCTCTCTTTGTTCAATTAATTTGTTTGGTTTAAACATTTATTTATTTGTATTGGAAAGGCGGATTTACAGAAAGAAAAGGAGAGACAGAGAAAGATCTTCCATTTGCTGGTGTACTCCCCAAATAGGTGCCAACAGCTGGAGCTGAGCCAACCTGAAGCCAGGAGCTTTTTCCAGGTCTCTCACATGGGTGCAGGGTCACAAGACTTTGGGCCGTCCTCGACTGCTTCCCCAGTCCATAAGCAGAGCGGTGTTCCACCCACTGGCTCACTCTCCAAATGTCTGCAATGGCTGGAGCTGAGTCAACCTGAAGCCAGAAGCTTCTTCCAGTCTCCTGTGTGGGAGCAGGGGCCAAGCACTTGGCCGTCCTCTGCTGCTCTCCCAGGTGCATCAGCAGGGAGCTGGGTCAGAAGTGGAGCAGCCGGGACTCGAACTGGCATCCATATGGAATGCCAGTGCCAGAGACTACAATGACACCAGCTCTACAAATAAATTAAAAAAAAAAAAAGTTTGGTGTGGGTTTTACATGCCAGTGGAGTGACTGGTTCCCCTTGGACTCCTAAGTGTCCCAGCTTGTGCATTCACTGCATGACCTTGTTTAAGTGGTGACTTGTTAATAAGTGCCTGCCCGCCTGAACCCATGGAGCCAGGGTTAAAAACCTGCCACCTCCACGCTCCAGAGCCACTTGTGTCACGTACTGAAGCCTTGCTGGCCACAGCAGTCCCTCTGGAGCCCCCAGATGGTTGGTGCCCACCCCCTTGGCCCTGAGCCCACATGGGCTGGTGGTGAGCACCAGACACTGCACCCCAAGGGCTTCAAGGACCTAGAGCCCCAAACAGGTGGCTTTCCTGACACCTGGCGCCTGCAGCTCCCAAGCGCCCCTCTCTCTAACCCTTAGAAGACAGCTGCCATATGTTCTTCTTTTCAGAAATGCCAGGAGTTCCATCTGGGTCTCCGCTCTGGGAGGCAGGTGCCAAGCTCGGGAGCCACCACCTGCAGCCTCCGAGGACGCACATGAGGCGGAGCTGGCTGAGAAGTGGGGCACTGGGGATCCACTCCTGGATGCGGGCACCGGAGGGCCTTGCGTCTGATTCCTGCCCGTCTCCTTGCTTTGCTTACTGTCCATCCCACAGCGACGGACTTGGCGCACGGAGCCGGTAACACGCGTGGACTACTGAAGCTTATTAACAGCACCAAACCTTTAAAGAAAGGTTGTCACGCAGGCCTCCAGGGAGGATGGGCTTGAGCCGTTTATTTTGAGCAAGGTAGTTCCCCCAAACACCGCTAGTTCCTCTAGCAGGTTCTTTAGGTAAACCTATGAATCAAGTACATCCTTACCAATTGCGCCCGGCTCCTTCAGGGGAGATTCAACTGGGTATTGTCTCCCACAACAGCAAAGATTCTGAATGTACCTCTTCCCTTCCCGGGGACCACCTGCCCATTCGCCGCTTTCCACCCGGCGCGGGTGACCTCTACTTAGACGCTGGGCCCATCCCCGGGCGGAGAGCAGCCAGGGCTCCGAGCCCCAAACACCAGGCGGGCCGAGCCCAGCCACGCAGCGGAGCGCCGGCGTCCCGCTAAGGTGCCCTTGCCGGGGCTGGGAGACGCAGGGGCCCTCCCCGGAGGCACACACCGCCGGGCGCCTGCCCAGCGCGGCCGCCCAGGCCCGCAGGGACCCCGTGCGCCCCGCGCGCCCCGCGCGCCCCGCAGCCGAGCCCCGGCGGCGCCCCGCCCCACGCCGCTTTACGGCGCGCACCGGCCAATCCGCGGCGGCGCCGGGCGAGCGGGCGGCCGTCAGGCGCGCGGCGTGTCGCGAGGCCGTGTCGCGAGGCGGCCCCGCGGGCGGGCGGGCGGCCGCCGACCTGGTGTCATTGGGCTGCGAGCAGCGGACGCGGCGGCCGCGGGACAGGCACGGCCATGGCGGGCGCTCTGGCGCGGAAAGCGGCGGACTATGTCCGCAGCAAGGACTTCCGCGACTACCTCATGAGGTGAGGAGCGCGGCGCTCGGGGCCGCTCGCGGTGACCCGCTGCTGGGACGGGCCCGAGGGCGCGGGGCCCGGGCGGCGGCGCGAGGACGGGCGCGCTGGCCAGCGGAGTCCCGTTCGGAGCCGTGCGACGCGGGCGCCGGGGACAGTGGCACGCTCCTCTCTCCCGGGGTGCCGGGACGCTCCTCCGGGCCGGGGTGACGTTGGGGCCCCTCCTGGCAGCTGACAGCGGGGACCCCTCCCGGCTGGGGACACTGGGGACTCCTCGCAGCTGGGGACAGTGGGGTCGCACCTCCGGGCCAGGGTGACATTGGGGCCCCTCCTGACTCGGGACGTGCGGGGACTCCTCCCGGCTGGGGACAGTGGTGCCGCGCGCCTCCGGGCCGGGGTGACATTGGGGCCCCTCCTGGCTGGGGACGTGCGGGGGTGCTTCTCTGGCCAGGGCGATCCTGGGGTCTCCTCCTTGGCTGGCGACCCTGGGGACGCTCCTCGCTGTGCCCCACCCCATGGGGTTGTGAGGGTGACGGAGATCTCGGAGCGGGTGGCAGGGTCGGGGTCGCTGTGAGCCCAGGCTCTTCCAGGTGCAGGCAGGTGTACGTCCAGGGGCACCCGGGGCGGGGGGCTGTGACCGTGCACTTGGGGTCTGGCTTGGCGGGAGGGGGCGCTCCGGAGAGCTGGACTGCCCGCTGGCGTCTGACTCCGCGGCCAAGGTGAACTGCAGGTGCACCCAGCAAGCAAACCGGCTGCTGCCAGCGCGGCCTGGCTTTCCCATCTTCCGTAACGGACTCTTCTCGGCGTGAGCGGGGTTCAAGTAAAGCTGTGCTGTGTGAATGCTGTGCGCTACCGCGGACAGTCTCGGAGAGGGCGAGTGTTCTGTGCAGTACGGAGTGGCAGGGTCTCGGAGTGGGTGCTTCCTCCTGTTGTGACAGTTGAGACAAAGGCCCCTCACAGGTGGAGGGCCTGAGCACCCACCTCTCTCACTTGTCGATGTGAAGAGCTCGCTTTTATTCCAAAGCACCCACAGTTTAAATGCTTCAAGGAGCCTAATTTTATTGAATTGTTTATTTGAGCGAGAGATCGGGCTGTTGGTTTAGCCCCCAAACGCCCACGGCAGCCAGGGCTGAGGCTCGCCTGCCGCTGGGAGCTAGGAAGGCAGTGTGCTCCCTGTGTGGTGGCAGGGACCCTGCCAGGGCGGTCCCTGCCTGCCAGGGTGTGCCTTAGCTGGCAGCCAGGACTGCACCGCTGTCGGAGCAGGTGACTTCAGCACTGGCCAGGTGCCCGCCCCAGGAATGCAATGTTGATTTTACTGTGTGTGATTTAAAAACCCAAGTGTGGTCGCCAGTGTGTTTAAGGGGCAAAGCGGTAGACTCTGAGGGGGGCGACTGTCACTGTTGAGAAGGCGCCTTAGGAAGCTGGTCTTCCGAGTCCTGCCTTTGGCGGGTTTAGCGGACAGGTGGGGGAGAAGGCGCGTGCTGAGCTTGGGAGCAGAGACCTTGGGCTGGCCTTCCACAGCAGCGGCCTCAGCTGCCCTCACCTGGACGGCGGGCCATGGCCCTGCCCCGGGGGCGGAGGGCAGCTCTTTGCACACAACCCAGGGCTGTCCCGGCTGGGAGTGCGTCTGCTTTCTGCTGGCGCCTTCTGGCTGTGTGACGAGTCCTCCTGAGAGATGCCACAAAGGAGGAACTCACACAGCGTATTAAGAATAAGTTACACCATTAGGTCTGTCACGTGGTAGGGATTGTTAGGTACCTTTGTAAGGAAGAAGGCAAGTCTGCATTTCCAGATGTCTGCCAGCACGTGGGAGGAGTTCCCACTGGAATACCTGCACGACCTGCACGTGCTTCCTGACGTTTTTCCAAAGTTGTCTTCTTGTTGCCTAGTCTGCACGTGCTTTCGTTGCGGTGCACTTTAACATGTAGGCGGGAGAAGGTGCCCGAGGAGGTGTTGCCGGGATTCTGGGCGTGTCGAGCTGGGCGGCAGGCAGCAGCTCGGTCCCACCCGGCGGTGGTCGCTCAGATGGGTTGACCGTGACACCTGCATTTCTGACTTGTCAGTTAAGTTGGATAAAGGATGTGAGAACTGTGGGAGCTGCACACCCCTCCACATTTTTACTGTAGCCTTCGATTTCTGCAAGCGGTACAGCTTTACCAAAGTCCACTGTGATGGAGAACTCAAACAAGTGTGCGGCATGAAGGCTGTGCTTCGCTTTAAAGAGTTATTTCTAAACTTTTATCTGAAAGGCAGGTTTTTGCAGAGAAAGAGAGAGGGGAAAAAGAAGGCCACTCCCTAAATGGCCGCAAAGGCTGGAGCTGAGCTGATTCAAAACTGGGAGCCAGGAGCTGCTTCTGAGTGTCCCACGTGGTACAGGTCCAAGGACTGTGGCCTCCTTTGCCACCTTGCCAGTCTATAAGCAGAGGGCTGGATGGGAAGTGGAGCAGTCGGGACACGAACTGCTGACTGTATGGGGTGCCGGTGCCACGGGGTGGAGGGTTATTCAGCTGTGCCACCACGCCAGCCCCTAGGTCTGGGAATTTTTGTTTTAACCTGAAATAATTTTTGAGAAGGGAAGACATGTGTGCAGCCTGTCTCGCTTTCCCAGCTCTTCCTGCGGGCAGTGTGGTCTCGCACAGGGCAGTGTGGTCTCACGCAGGGCAGTGTGGTCTCGCACAGGGCAGTGTGGTCTCACGCAGGGCAGTGTGGTCTCGCACAGGGCAGTGTGGTCTCGCAGGGCAGTGTGGTCTCACGCAGGGCAGTGTGGTCTCGCGCAGGGCAGTGTGGTCTCATACAGGGCAGTGTGGTCTCACAGGGCAGTGTGGTCTCGCACAGGGCAGTGTGGTCTCACGCAGGGCAGTGTGGTCTCACGCAGGGCAGTGTGGTCTCACAGGGCAGTGTGGTCTCACGCAGGGCAGTGTGGTCTCACGCAGGGCAGTGTGGTCTCATACAGGGCAGTGTGGTCTCGCGCAGGGCAGTGTGGTCTCATACAGGGCAGTGTGATCTCGCGCAGGGCAGTGTGGTCTCATACAGGGCAGTGTGGTCTCACGCAGGGCAGTGTGGTCTCACGCAGGGCAGTGTGGTCTCGCAGGGCAGTGTGGTCTCACGCAGGGCAGTGTGGTCTCACACAGGGCAGTGTGGTCTCACAGGGCAGTGTGGTCTCGCACAGGGCAGTGTGGTCTCATACAGGGCAGTGTGGTCTCATACAGGGCAGTGTGGTCTCGCAGGGCAGTGTGGTCTCACGCAGGGCAGTGTGGTCTCACGCAGGGCAGTGTGGTCTCACACAGGGCAGTGTGGTCTCATACAGGGCAGTGTGGTCTCACAGGGCAGTGTGGTCTCGCACAGGGCAGTGTGGTCTCACGCAGGGCAGTGTGGTCTCGCAGGGCAGTGTGGTCTCACGCAGGGCAGTGTGGTCTCACGCAGGGCAGTGTGGTCTCGCAGGGCAGTGTGGTCTCATACAGGGCAGTGTGGTCTCACGCAGGGCAGTGTGGTCTCATACAGGGCAGTGTGGTCTCACAGGGCAGTGTGGTCTCATACAGGGCAGTGTGGTCTCACGCAGGGCAGTGTGGTCTCGCAGGGCAATGTGGTCTCACGCAGGGCAGTGTGGTCTCACAGGGCAGTGTGGTCTCGCACAGGGCAGTGTGGTCTCGCACAGGGCAGTGTGGTCTCACAGGGCAGTGTGGTCTCACGCAGGGCAGTGTGGTCTCACGCAGGGCAGTGTGGTCTCGCAGGGCAGTGTGGTCTCATACAGGGCAGTGTGGTCTCGCACAGGGCAGTGTGGTCTCATACAGGGCAGTGTGGTCTCGCGCAGGGCAGTGTGGTCTCATACAGGGCAGTGTGGTCTCACAGGGCAGTGTGGTCTTGCAGGGCAGTGTGGTCTCGCACAGGGCCGGGCTCGGTCTATTCAGTAGCAAGTCTTCAGGCAGGTTCTTTGGAAAGCAGTTAGCTGGAAGTCCAGGCCTGAGGGAGTGTGTCGCTGTGGCCTTTGGGTCGTGATGCCGTGGGTGGCAGCACAGGGCTCAGGTGAGCTGGGTCACCTGGCAAGGGAGGCAGCAAGCGTCTGGAGGCTGTGGAGGGAACTGGTCACTCCTGAGGTCGCTCCCGTTTAGGCCCCACCCCTTGGAGGTGCATTAGCGACCCCAGGGCCAGCCAGGCCAGAGCAGAGCAGCAGCAGGATGGCAGGCTGGTGGTGGAGTCCGAGCTCGGCTTGTGTTTTGGCCCTGGTCCCCATCTCCAGGAACAGCCGTCCTCCTGGATCCTGTCTCGGATCTGCTGCACCATGTGGTTTGCCAGGCCTGCTTCCCCTGGCAGCGCGGGGCGGGCTCCACTCCGCATCTGTGCTCAGAGACTGCACCTGTTCCTTGCTCTTCCTACCCAGGTAGCTCAGTGGGCAGCCCGAGCACCCCTGACGGCTACGGGGGGCAGAGCTCAGACCCTCCCAGGGCTACACCACAGCTGTCCTGCAATTCTAAAACCATTATAGTAATGTAGTTCATTACTAAGGATTGTTTTTTACAGAGGGAGAGAGAGACAGAGACCTTCCATCTGTTGTTTCTGTCCAGATGGCTGCAGTGGCCAGGGCTGAGCCAGGCCAAGCCAGGAGTTTCATCCAGTTCTCCCACACGGGGAGCAGGGCCCGAACACTCGAGTCCTCCACTGCTTTCCCAGATTAGCAGGGGTTGGAAGTGGAGTGGCAGGGATTCCAGCTGGCACCCAAATGGGATGCCACCATTGTAGGTGGCACTCTATACATTATGCCACAGTTCTGGCTCCTAAAATGTCTGTTTTTAAGATTTATTTGTTAGGCCTGGCGCAGTGGCCTAATAGCTAGATTCCTCACCTTGCATATCCCGTATGGGCAGTGGTTCGTATCCCAGCTGCCCCACTTCCCATCCAGCTCCCTGCTCGTGGCCTGGCAAAGCAGTCAAGGACGGCCCAAAGCCTTGGGACCCTGCACCTCTGGGGTATTAACCAGTAGACAGAGGATCTCTCTGTCTCTCCTCTCTGTAAAT